GGACTCCAACTCGGGTCCATCTCGGGTCCACCTCGAACTCCACTTCGGACTCCATCTCGGACTCCACTTCGGACTCCAACTCGGGTCCATCTCGGACTCCACTTCGGACTCCAACTCGGGTCCATCTCGGACTCCACTTCGGACTCCAACTTGGGTCCATCTCGGACTCCACTTCGGACTCCAACTCGAGTCCATCTCGGACACTCCCACGTGTCATGTGTTGGTCCTTTTGGGTCCCTTTTTGGAGCCTCGCCTTTTGCTCGCTTCGTGCTCGTTCCTCGAGCACTTCGTTGGGAGTTCCACTCCCGCTCTTGACTTTTCAAGTCGGAGCTTTTGGTCCAAACGTGTTACGCTCGTTTGGCTCTCGCTTCGGCCACTACCATGTGGCGCCCTTCTGGCTCCACTTTGGGGCCTAGGGATTTTGTGTCTCACAGGAGTATTCTGATCTATTTGAATTTGACCTATCATCTGGGGCCAAGATTGCCACACATCATCTGATTCCAACTGGGGATGCTTGTTTAATCAAGGTTCCTATTTGTCGTCAGTCACCCAAGGAGATCAAGATTTTACGTGCAAACGTCAAGAAGATGTTGGAGAAGGGTGTTATTTGGAAGTTGCGAAGTCCTTGGGCATGTGAACCTCATTTTGTGACGAAGCCTGATGGGAGTATTTGTTTCTACATCGACTATCGTCCGTTAAATGAAGTGACGATCCCTCATGTGTACCCTCTTCCTCACACTGCTGATATCTTAGATCGTCTAGGGCGAAGTCGTTGGTTCACCAAGCTAAATCTTGCTTCTGGGTATTAGCAAGTACCGATGGCCGAAGAAGATATTTCTAAAACTGTTTTTCGTACACCATTTGGATTGTACAAGTTCTTGGTAATGCCGTTTGGTTTGAACAATGCTCTAGCAACTTTTCAGCAGATGATGGACGAGGTTCTTTGCGATATGCCAGAGGTGATTGCTGACTTCATTGATGATGTCTTGATCCACTCGGAGGGGATGTGGGAAGAGCACGTTCGTGATGTTTATAAAGTGTTGGATCGGCTATGCGACGTTAGTCTAAAGCTGAAGCGGTCGAAGTGCTTGTTTGGGTCCAAGGACACAACTTATTTTGGGTACCGTATTTCTCGTGAGGGTTTGCAAATTGATCCTGACAAACTTGTGGCTGTTTTAAAGTTCCCTACTCCGAAGTGTGTAAATGATATGCAATGCTTCTTGGGCAAGGTGCAGTATCTCGATTGTTTTGTGGATCATTTTTCTGATCGCACTGCACCATTGCAAGCGTTGCTAAAGTGACAAACGTCATCTTTCATCTAGTTTCCGGATTGTGAGCGAGCATTCATGGATCTCAAAGAGCTATTGACGACTCCTCGGGTTTTGGCATATCCTGACTACACTCAACCTTTTATTTTATGCGTGGATGTTTCTGACATTGGTCTTGGAAGAGTGTTGATGCAAAAAAGCTTGAGTGTGCTTGGTTAGTGCCATCCCATTGCATATATAAGCCGTACATTACAACAAGTGGAGATGAACTACTTTACGATAGAGAAAGAGTGTTTAGTAGCAGTTTGGGGTTTCGAAAAACTTCATTTATATCTACATGGTTCTCGGATGTTACTTGAAGGTGACCATGCTGCCGTTACTTCATTATTGAAGCAGAAAAACCTGGTTGGTCGTACTGCTCAGTGGGCTTTGAAGCTTCAGATATATGATTTTGATGTTGTTCATCGCTCAAGGAGTTTTATGGCTGATGCTGATGCCCTTTCTCGAGCTCCTCTTCCTTTTCCACTCTCTTCTCATGTTTTTTACGAGCTTGTTGTTTTAGCATTTGTGGATTTTCTAGATGAGGATTCTGTGCCGACGGTGGTTACCGTACTTAACGTTCAGTGTCCACAAGGCGCAGAGCAAGATCTACCTTTTCTTGATGAGGTTTATGAGGCTTAAAAGATTGAGCCGTGGATTCAAAGGCTTTGAGATGCGTTTGAGAATCCTACATCACTTGCTGATGACTTGCCTTTTCGGCATTTACATTCTCAATATTGCCTTGAAGTTATTTTGTGGGGACAGATCCTAATGATTATTTATGGCTGGTGGTGCCTTCTATCTTTATTCCGCGGTTTCTCTATGCCTACCATGATTCTCTTGTTCTAGGTGGGCATATGGGACATTGTCATGTAACCCTTCTAACCTTTGTAATCTTTCTATTGGCTGGAGATGTGACGTGATGTTATCTGGTATGTGCATAACTATGTTTGGTGCCAAGCTCATAATACTCACCCTCATGTCGCAGAAGGATTGGAGTCAATTGTAGTTTCCCGTCCGTTTGAGTTGGTGGTGTTTGATCTTATAGGACCTTTTCCATGGTCGACTGTTGGCAATGAATATGTTATTATTGTTTCTGACTACTTGACTCGTTGGGTGGAAGTTAGTGCTTTTACTAGTGCCTCTGCAACTGCTATTGGATACTTCCTCCTCAATCGAGTGATGTTCCAACATTATTTTCTAAAGCAGATTCTTTCAGATAATGGTCCCGCATTTATGGCTGAGGCATTTCATGTTTTGACGTCTCGGTTGGGGATACGCCACACTTTCACGAGTACTTATCATCCACAATTAGACGGTCCGGTGGAACGGCTCGTTCGGACATTCAAAGGGATGTTTGTAAGTATATGAACTTTCAGCATTCGGATTGGGATGGTTATTTGCCATCTCTTCGGTATGCCTATGTCACAGGGGTGTAGAGTTTTGTTGGTGCTTCACCATATAAACTCCTATATGGTCATACTCCAATATTACCAACGGAGCTAGGTTTACTGTCGTGATTGCCACGAGCTCCCAATGCTAAGTCATGGGATCAATATTTGACGAGCATTCTTCCACTTGTTCGAGCAGAGTCTGCTGAACACTTAGGCCACTTTCAAGTGGGACAACAACGGCGCTACAACTCCCATCATCATCCATTTGCGGAATACAAAATGGATGATTTGGTGATAGTTTGTTTTCCCCATCTTACGATACGTGGCTTATCTAAGGGGCTCCTTGTGCAGTGGAAAGGACCGTATCGAGTGTTGCGGAAAGTTGGACCACAAGTTTATGAGGTTCGGCATGACGTCCAACAAGCCGATCCTCTTGAGATTATGCATGTGCAGCAGATGAAATGCTTCATACAAAGGGATCAAGAGCAGTTAATACCATCTACAAATCCACCGATGCCTCCTCCTAACATTCCTCCAGGTCCCAGCCCGTCTACAAGAGACCTCTGACGGTCTCTTGTATTCCATTATTCCGAGAGGAGGGGATGATGTGAGGACCAAATGTACGACTACGATGCCGTATACTAATATTAGCGTAGTGGGATTTTGGTAGTCGTCGGATTGGTTTCAATCCGGACCACTCGCTCTTCTATATAAGCTAGGGTTTTTGGGCTAATTGATATGCACATTTTCTGTATTCCCTTTCCATATTCCAAGCACCCACTATATATGTGTGTGTGTATATATATATATATATATATATGTATGTATGTATGCATGTATGCATGTATGCATGCATGCATGCATGTATGTATGTATGTATGTATGTATGTCTGTATGTGTATGTATGTATGTATGTCTGTATGTGTATGTATGCATATGTATGTATACAAATATATATGTGTATATATGCGTATATATGTGTATATATATGTATATATGTGTATATATGTGTATATATGTGTATATATGTGTATATGTGTGTATATATGTGTATATATATATATATATATATATGTATGTATGTATTACGTATGTACGGTATGCATGCATGCATGCATGTATGTATGTATGTATGTATGTATGTCTGTATGTGTATGTATGTATGTATGTCTGTATGTGTATGTATGCATATGTATGTATACAAATATATATGTGTATATATGCGTATATATGTGTATATATATATATATATATATATATATATATATATATATATATGTGTGTGTGTATATATATATATAAACTCCTTAATAACAAAGGTAAAACAAAAGCTCTTAACAACTCTCATAATTGAGGATAGACACTCAACCCAAAAGTTTGACAAAAGTGACTTAACCCTTAAAATAGAGGAATACTCAATACCAAAGTTAATCAAAGACTTTGCTAACAAAAATAAGATTCTCAATTTTACATATATATTCAATATCTATAAGAAGGATAAAAACACTCAACTCAATATTTAACTAAGAATGAAAATCATAAAAGTCACAAATAATTAATGTGCCAAGAGAATAAAATACTATAGATAAGGAAAAAACAAGAAATAAGAAAAAGTTAGGAAAAAGTAAAATGCAAAAAAAAAGATTAAATGGCAAATTAAAAAATTAACACCTACCTTGCAAAATCTACAATTTGTCTCCAAACTTATCCTCAAAGTAATCAAATTACTTGTAATAGGATTCCAAATATCATCTTCCTATAAACTCAATCATCAAATAGTCTTTAAGATTTGGATTGTAGATCTCCAAATGATATCACAATTAATTATGTAATCATGTCCTATGGAAGCTAAAGATAGCAACACACTAAAGATTGATGTAGCATCACATAGGATCATATTGCAGAACACTAAAAGCTTGATTTGAAGAGGACACAACTACAAGAATAATGTTGTTGAGTGATAATAACAACATATCATTTGTAGTCTTGGATAAAACACTCTTCAATCGACAATAACATGGTAAAAAATGATAGAACAAAAGTAAAGGTATAATCAGAGACAAATTGCAATACTAATATGAGTGTTTGGAATTTGGGTTTAATTTGGTTTATATACAATAATGGACTAAATTCAATCCCAAATAAATGGTCCATATCCTATATTAATGTATTATTTAAAATAATACATATATATACACATGTATTTACATAGGGATCATTAAAAAAAACTAGAAATAAAGACAGAAAAGTCAAAAAGACAATAGAGTTTATAGTTAAAAATAACATTTTAACTTTCTTTCTAATTACAGCTAGTAGAGACATTGTCGTACTTAAACTCATTGTCAACAACCAGCAAATTTCTAGAGTAGCAACTCGCATCAGTGTTCCGATATGACAAGCTCTGTCTCACACCCTTGCCCCCACAAACTTGGAGGTTTGTGAACACGCTTGTGAAGTTCCCTCCTTGAACAACCCCATTGTTGCTTCCAATCCTCAATACGGAATCAAACTCATGGTTGAACGACTGATGTACCAGACCGCGCATCAATATCATCACCGGCACAGATGTTTTGTCAGTCCAGTGGAGATATATGGCATCACCAGAAGCTTGCTCCAGGAGCACCACCTTGGACTCCGTGAGAAGCTGCAAACTTCCATCCTCGGAGTTCCAGCGTCGAGAGTGGACCTCGTGCTCGATCCAAGTGGTGAAGTTGGTCCCGTCCACAAGGTGGTATCCCACGCTAGAAAAGCTTCTGGAAGCCACTGTGGTGCCGAGTGCTGGATGAGAGATCATCGTGTCGCTCGCGCTCCAGTGGATCAAGCCACTCGCTCCTGTTTTCGTAGCAGTGGTGGTGGACATCAGCAAACTGGCACCCAAGAACCAGATGCTGGTGGCTCCGATCACTCGAAATCCAAGCTTATGTGGCTTTCCATCGGCTAGAACAGGAGCAAACGCGTCCAAGATGACGTCGTAGCCAGGAGAGTTCAAGGCACCGATGGATCCAACAGACTCCCAGTAGGATGCATTGATCCCAGCGCTGTAGATCACCGGGCTCGGCCAGATCGCGTCCACCACAGCACCGTCGAGAGTGATCACCACCTCTCGCATCTCCGAGGAGCTTCCCTTCTTGTACCAAAACTCGTCGTCACCATGCGAGGAAACGAAGACCTGCAAGCGAGCACTGACGACGTTGGTCGGAGGGGTCACCATGGCGGAGGATTCCTGATCGTTTTGGAATACGAACCAAAGCCCGGTGGAGTTGGAGGGTGGTGGATGGATCGGGAGAACAGCGAGGGGCGGGAACAAACCGGCCGATGTTCCTGACAGGGGTGAGAAGAATCGGCGACTTCCGCGAGCTTGATCGATGATTTCGGCTGTGGATTCCTTGAACAAGTAGAAGTTGGCTGTGACGCTAATTCTGTAGGAAGATTTCGTCGATGGCAGTGACGAGTTCGTGGAGGAGGAGGCGGTGACATCCAAGAAGATGAGCGAGAGATTTGAGCTGGATAGGAAGAGAGATTCGAAACTGGTGGCGTCCCTTTGGATCGTCCAGTTTGTCCCCTCCGGTGTCGGGAGAGGGGTGCTCGCGTGGAGGATCTGAGCACCACCCAGCCACACTCCACCGATTTTTTGCTCCTTGGACGATCCCTTGCAAAAACCGGTGAGCTCGAGGACGATCTTGGTCCAAACGCTCCCGCATTGGGTGGAAGGCGCGTAGCTAGTCTGGATGGAAAAGTTCTTCGTGTGAGAAACCATGATGAGAAACTCACCTCGATCAGCGGAGAAGCTCCCGAGAACTCGGCATTGACGAGGGGGTGAGCGCATTTGACAGCGTCCTTTGGGATGTCGATCGGCTGGACAATATCTCTCACCACCGATCCTTCGATCATCACTCCTGCCAAGATCACACACAGCGCAAGCGTAGCCACGAGAAACTCCATTGGGTGCTCAAATCTGCCTCTCTCGATCGCCAGCCCACCTTTTAAACATGGTCATTTGGCAAAGAGGTCGTCACTAGAGACAGTGAGCAAATTGACTATTTCGTTTAGAGTTTTCGTTCGATGATAGGATCAATGCGAGGTATGGATGTCGTGTAGGGTGATGATTTCTCATTTTCATTGGCGCTTGTCCTTCTCTGCGAGCATTTATAATAATTCTTCTTCTCAGGATACTTGGGCTGACGTTGCTTCGTGAGAGAACACACACCCTCTTCATCTGCAAGGTAACATTGAGAAGAATGGTTTACGAGGAGGAGGCGAGTATGGATGTCTCTCGAAACTTGCGAGAATTTATACTCGTTTTTTAAGCTTATGAACACTTGGGCTGAGGTTAGATCTGCTTTGTGAGAAAACATTGAAAAGCTTCAGGAGGTACCGGAGGAGGCGATCTTGGAGCTGACGCAAATGGGGAGATGAAGCCTGTGTCCCCGATCGCCATCCAGGAGGAGCTCCCCAAAACTGGGAGCCGAGGAGGTGACTAGAGCCTTGAGAGTGAGCGTCAACTTGACCAATTGTCCACCGCGCACGGAGAAACTCGATGGTTTTACCGTCACTGAGACCCCGGCGGGGACGACCAATGTAGCATTGTAAGCCTCGTCCCTCTCGCTCACGCTTGTCGCGATTCTCACCACAGATCTGGCGCCATTGAGGCTCGCGATACTCACGTATGGAGTGTTAAGGTCCGAGGCAAAGCTGGAAGAAATGCTGGCGGCAGCGGTGGTGTTTGAGGAGGACGAAGAGGGTGACGATGGCGATGACAAGCAAGACGATCCAGTCGCGGCTGACACTGTCGAGTTGCTGAGAGCCGGAATGGAGCACAAGAACTGGATGTAGTCTCGGAATCCTGGCAGCAAAAACACCTTAGTCGAGACGAACGCGATCGAATAGAAAAACTCACCGGCATCGAAGATCAAGCCAGGATCAATCGCCGCTGCGGGATTCACAAAACCGGCTCCAAAGTCGAATGGGGTGGCCGGGCGAGTCGACATTGCTCGTGGGGTGCTGTGCGAGTAGTGGCTGGCCATTGGAGTCGAGAGTGAGAGCGGTAGTGGACATGGCCGACGCGATCCCGGCGGGGCTGAGCGACGGGAAGCGCTGCTTGACGAGCGCCGCGATGCCGGCGATGTGGGGCGTGGCCATGCTCGTCCCGGAGATAAGCGCAAACTCCTGGCCTTCGAACTCCCGCTCGTCGCTCCCGATTGAGGACCACGCCGCCCAGATGAGGTTCCCGGGAGGCAGCCTGTTGGGCTTGAGCACATCAGCCACGTCCAGGTTGTTGCTATTCACGTCCGGGACGAGTACGTCGCCACCTTGGTGTCGAGAAGCTGAAAAGAGCTTCGCGGCCTCCTGCTATGGTGGCCATGGCCGCGGAGCTCGAGAGCCTGCCTGACTTGTCTCTTCTCGTGGATGTGTTGTAGTAGTGGAGCAACACCTGGCGGCAAATGCAGTGAGATAGTTAAGATCCAAGAAAGGTGGCGGATGAACTTTACCGCGGAGTCTTTGGAGCTGGATGATGATAGCCGGGAAGCCGATCGGGGACGGCGGGAAGCTGTGGCCGTCGAGGTCGGGCGTGGCCAGAAACACAAGCCCGGACGCTCTGAGCTCTTGCGCAGCCACAACCGCGTCGGCCAGCGTCGACACCCCGAACAGATAACGCAGGCTGTAGCTGCACACGAGAATCCTGCCGCTGACGAGCGACCTGTTGTAGTTCCCGGCGTCCTGGCACTCGTCGACAAGGATCCTGGACACATTCCCATTGGTGGCATCTGCTGCGGTGATAAGGCTGAAGCTGCCATTTGTCCCGGCTGCAAACAACACCCAGAAAGCCTCACATTACATCAGCTGGCAAGCATGGCACGTCAACGGAGCAGCTGGCGGGCACAAAAAAGGTGGCGGAGGGGCAAGATAACGACGAGAAAAGACACAGAAGGCAGTACACTTGCGTGTATCTTACATGCGAGGCCGGTTCCCGTGATGCTCCCGAGGGTGATGGCGTTTGGGTAGGTCCTGTCGTGGGTGGCCGCTGCTACGGAGAATATCCAGGGGCTGAAGGACACGCTGGTCCGGGGATACGGTCCCCCGTTTCCAACAGCCTGGGTCACAAACACGCCCGCCTTGACGGCCGACAGCAGCGCCAGGTCGAAGGTGCTCATGAATGTCAAGTTCCAGCGCTGAAAGGCTCAGCACGTCCACTCCATCGGGAACAGCCTGATCGGTCACACAAAGCAATGTGACGAGAAATGGAGGAAAACGAAGAGAAACAAGGCAGGAGAACAACCCAAGTTGAAGGAAACAAAGAAACCGAATTGCGCGGATCAGGTCTCAGAAATTTTGGAGAGTGTGGTATTTCAGAACTAGAAGAGTCACTGAACTGCTATAGCAAGAATTAACGGTGGTTCGCATTCGATGGTGGTTTCTTCGCCCTAGGACTCTTAATAGGTTACCCACGTTTTCTATAAGATGCATAATAATTAAATAAAGCATATTCATTTTTTAATGGTCTAGGGATCTGAGTTTACAATATGAAATGGTAAAATATATTTCGAGATGCATTCCCAGAACCTCACCAGATGAACTTCGTAGATTGCAATAAGCCCACCAGGTTCAGCTCCAGTTGTGCTCGTTAATGCGTAGCCCTGAACGTTTCTGAACTCTCCTGTGCCCCCAACAACGGCTATTTCCCTTCGGGACTCAGTGAAGGGGTTCTGACCATGGAGCACTATTGTACCTTTCCGCCCTTCCAGCTCCACCGTCATGCTCTGGAGAAAGCTGCTTTTGCTCAGCGAATCTATCACCAGAAAACCCTTGGCTCTTCCCACAGGCTTGGAGTTGATCGAGGACTCCGTAGTCAGCTTGTCATCAAAAATGGCAACCTGACCAAACAACGTTTCATTGTTACGAGGAGGCAGGACGATTGCTGTTGTCGGATTGCTCCCATTGAACTGGTCGTGCAAGTAGAACCGGATCACCTCGGTGCACTTTGATAGATCCAATTCTCCCGGCTTTGGGAGGCTCGATTGTGCAGGAGCGATTGCAAAAACCAGTGTTAGAACGAGGGGAATGAAGATCTTCATTGCACAGCTGTGTGTACATTACTGCAGCACTAGAGCTCTATTTATGTACTTGAAGAAGAGAACTGGTGCTCTGGCGCTTGCGTGTGCCTAGCCAACTTGGTGTTTTTATGTCCAACACGTTCGAACAAGTTGACGAGGCACATCCAACGTGAACAAGTTGCAATCATGGAGCAGAAGCAAGGTATATCCAACAGAAGTCACATGCTAGAATAAACCACCACAATAGCATATTCTACCACAGTAGAATACATCATTTACATGGTGGATTAAGACACCATGGGGAGGACCATTGGACAACAGGAGAATATACTTAGAACATGTCTTAAACAGAAAGGAGTGCGTTCTTTTTAGAGGCCAAATATTCATAGAATATTCGTAGAATATACTTAGAATATTCTATGAACCATTTATTTTGAAAAAAAGTACAATTCAAAATACACTTGATACATTGAATGAAAAAATGTTTTCATGGTAAAGACCAGAAACACAGTAGACATGACAAACTAAAAATTGACAACTACATTCTGTAAGTCTGAGAAAACAAAGTACATTTTCTTAGGCCAGGCTTTAAAACTGGCAATTAAAAAAACCTAAAAATAGAACAGAACTAGTGGAGTTGAATATAACAACCTTTATTGTCTAAGCCACTTTGTCTTTTTAAGTTGTTGGTGTTGCAATTAGAGCACCCTCATACCTACTGATTGTATCAACAACCTTTAACTTGGACAATGTTGGTTGGATCATGCAGAGGTCACCATCCACCAACTTGTAAATGTTTATATACATGAATAACAAATGCTTACACACTTGAAATCCTGATGCTTGATGAAATCAACACAAGTGCAAACTAGATATTGTGAAATTCTCACTCGATAGTTGTTTTGTGATGATTAAAGCTACACCAACTCCTCCTTATGACAAATAATGCTGATATTAACCACTCTTGTTGTTGTTTGAATTGTTGCAACATTTTCCATCCTCTATTGTGCATGAGCCAAAAATGTTGTCCTAGCATACATTATTTTTCTATCTTGTTTGTGTGGCACCGAGGTTGACAATGCATGCTTCTCAAGAGTTGAAGTGTTTACATGTTATGACATGATAAGGATCTAATTTGATATAAAGACTATGTTATAAGAGCTTTCTTTAGTTGGAAACCACTTCTTCCAAGTTCATTGACTTCTCCTTCTGTCAAACTTGTAAATTGGTCAATTAGCCATACTTATGGTATCTCTGGTGGGTTGAGTAGTGCGTGTTTAGGTGCTCAAGTATGTGTAACATCACCTTCACAAAACCACATCCAAGCAGGATTTTGATGCCCTTCATGTGTATAAATCTCATAGTAACAAGAAGCATATATCCCTTATGAAATTGTTTAATGACAACTTTACTTTGTTTCACACAACCACTCCATGCAATGAATAATTGTTGTGAATGTGACTTTAGGTATCGAAAGATATTTGTCGGCCAATCTTTACGGACACTCATTCCTTAGTGCCACAATGATAGGAGGTTGGTACTACTAGTCCCTTTTATGGTCTCCACTCAAGCTAGTTGAGAAACTGGTCATCACGTGTGCACTTGACTAAATGAGCATAAGGACGGAATTCCTACATGTTATTTGTCAAGCATACTTGACTGTAAGTGACTAATTTTTCCATTCTACTTTAGTCACTTAACCGCACCTCCGACCACTTGGAGGAGTCTCACTCACAACCTCCATAAGTCCCATTTAGGACTTGGGGCTTGCTAACCCCGAGAATGGCATCCATACCACTCAACCTTAGCACTTGGTCCAGGTGCTCCACGTGTCCGATCCCATGATCGACACCCTAAGGTACCACTGACGTATTGGCCCGTTACACTAAGGCCATGCCCATTTACCATAGTCACACTGGTGGTCCAACACCACCTGCATTGCAAT